TAAGTGTGTTTTAATAAAGGTATGGTAGAAGACTAATCATTTTTTAACATGTTTACCATAAAAAAAGACTAATCATTTTTATCAACTGAATATTTTTTAATTATTAGTCTCTCCGTTTCATATTAAGTGTCGTTTTAAAAAAAAAATTTAATTATAAAATATGTATCGTTTTATGATTTCAATGCAAAAAAAAACTAATCATTTTTATCAACTGAATATTTTTAATTATTATTCCCTTCGTTTCATATTAAGTGTCGTTTTAGAGATTTTGTTTTGTTACAAAATAAGTGTTTTATGATTCCAATGCAAAATGTATTAAACTTATTATGCAGTTTAATTCTATTGGTTGAAACATGGTTATATATACAGATAACAATGTTTTTATATAAAAATATGCAAAAGTAAATGTTTCTTTAATCCATGTGAACAAATCTAAAATGACACCTATATTGAAACAGAAGTGTATTTTCTTCCGCCAGGGTGGCTAACACCTACTTTTTATTCAGATTACCAATCAGTAGTTGATAGTCAAGGACGTGTTATTAATACTTATATTTTATCTAGTTAATAAAATTCTAAGTTTGTCAAAAGGATAAGGTAAGGAAAAAAACTTTCACTTATATGAAGGAATGGTATGTTCTTATCTTAGTACTTTTAGTCGTATGTTTTTGGGTAGACGATCTATTTACCCATGAGAACTATCATATAGCATCATATTCTCAGTGACTTCATGCTAGATTTCCACGAATTGAAAATTATAAACCTCTTTCTCCCTAAATAAATACTTCAAAACTTAATTACCCACATACGATGGTTTTAATTGGTTTATTCTTAACCAAACATTTTAAAAATTAAGTAAACCAAACCAAAATTTCATTTTTTTATTAACTTTTTTATGAGTTTCCATTTGTGATATATCTTTGTTTTTTCACGAATAAAACAAAATCTTCTTCCGTTGTAAAATAAACCCATTAAATCCCCACCTGAATCATGATAAACATTCTTATGTAAACATCTTAATAGGTTTCTTTTACAACAGAAAAAGATTATGTTTTATTTATTAGGAAACATAAATACATCACCAATGGAAACTGATAAGAAAATACAAAAATTGAATTCTGACTTGGTTTAACTGATTTTAAGATATTTAGTTAGGAAGAAACCAATTAAAACCATCGTATGTGGGTAATTAAGTTTTGAAGTATTAATTCGAAAAGAAATAGGTTTATAATTTTCAACTCATAGAGATCTAGCATGAGGTCATAGATCAGTAGGGATCTGATGATATATAATAGTTCTCTTGGGTAAATAGATCGTCTACCCTATGTTTTTCGTCCTAATTGCATCTTCAATGGTTACATTCATATTTTCTCTAAAAGATGATTATGTTTCAATGGTTCCTTACATTTATTTCATCAAAAAGAATAATTTAAATATATTGTTATACTTACTACTAAATTATAAAAACCCTTTATCAAAAAAAAAAACTATAACCATACTTTAATTCTTAATATTTACAAATTTTATCCAACTATAATTTCAGTATAACCAAACCGTTATTATATACATAAATATAATTTGTAATAAAAAATTAAATGCTTTATATGAATTGACAATAGTGTGAATGAAATTATTAATAATTTTATTAAACTATTAAGCCGAAAAATAATTTATATATTAAATAAGACTATAAATTTGAAAAATCATTTTTTAAGTATATAAAATTCAACATCAAATAAGTTTGTACATAGTACTCCTGAAGTTTGATGTGTTAAAGTTAGTAAACAATTTTTGAAAAAAAAAAAAAAAGTTAGTAAACAACAACCTACGAAAACTTCTTTAGAAACTGTTGAGATGCATGCCTTTCTTTCAGTATTCAGTTCGGAAAACAACTAACTGAATTATATTTTAAAAAATTATTTTCTTATTGTCTATAACTTTAAATAAGGTATCGTTGGAGATACTCTTATTAATTCTGAAATTTGCAGATTTCTAACTGTTTATAAGTGTTAGTTCGCAAAAGTAATGAAAACTATACTGAATTAAATTAGTCTTAATAAAGATTCAATATACCTGTATTTTTTTGCAGCAAGAAGTTGAACGAAATGATTTAAGAGACTCCCGGAAACTCAATCATGGTGTATCGCCGAAATTCATTTATGAATCTGTTGAACGGATTGTTTGCTGATCTTGGGTTGTCTCACGTTGACTTCGGTTCTTCGCAAAAACGATATTAAGTTTGCCTTACGTGAAGATTCCTTATATAAAGAATTCACGTGCATCCTAAACCCCTTTTTGATTATGTCACGAAACCCATATATAATTATTGTTGTTGCAATATCTTATATATAATTCCAAGAAGAGAGTACGAGTTAGGCTGTAATCATAAAATCTTGTCAGATCGGTACACCAAGTGGTCCTGTGAGTTTTAAACCGTACAAATCCGAAAATCCCTCGGAAAACGACAATAACGTAGAAAAAAATGCACGATCTAACTGGTTGACATGTCAAATCATGATTATTATTTTTTCTTTTGGTTGAAATATTTGAAATTTAATTAAATAGTTCTTATGTGTAAAAAAAAAATTAAATAGTTCTTAGAATTATTTTGATTTATGTTGTGAATTCGCATGAATAACTCGAGGAACTTAAGTAAATACCTTTTTTTTTTTAACTTAACTTAAGTAAATAGAGTAACAAGAAATATTTATACCATAAGTCTCTTTGAATTTGAGCAACGTATGTTAAAGTTCCTTCATACATCTCTTCGTTAGGGAACTTCATCCATCCCAAACAAAAAAATTGCACGAAGTTTAAAGAATAAGAATGATAGATTTTTTTTTTACAAAAAGTTAGAATAAAAGAATTCAAATTTCTGGAAGGTTAGTAAAGAGTAAAAACTTCCCCACTTGATATTTTACCTTCATTTATATTCAACTAAAGCGGTTGTCGTTTAGTTTTTTTGCCAAGTTGAAAGTTCGAAATTGATTTTCAATAACATTAAAATAAAAATATATAATTGTCACTAACTGCTGACTACAACTTGCATTGTAAATAACTTGAATAATTTTCTTAAATTTATAAATAATTTTGATTTTAGATGCATTGCAATCAATATATTACACATGTACAGGATACAAGTGGGAGCTGCTAAAAAAAAGGATACAAGTGGGATGGTCAGTCAGGGGTTTTCCCGAACTCGTTTATCTCATGTCACATAAGCACATGTTTAGGGCACCGCAGCCGCCAAGCCATGACTGCCAAAGTGCCAAGTCCACGATCACTTCTATCATCAAGACCGTACCACGTACAAAGTTGATAAAAAGGAAATGAGTAAACAATTAAACCAATGAATTTTTTTTAAATATCTTTTCAAACTTAATCGGATTTTAAGAATTAGTATTTTAAAATAAAATATTAGTATAGTTAAATATTTTATATATATAATTATTTATATTAATTACTATTTGTTTTATGTATCGAATTATAACTATTTATTTATTTTCAAATAAATTTATTTTCATATGTTTATTTATCTTTATATTTGAGAAATTCTTAACTATTTAATATAATATATTTAAATATTTCTACCTATTTTATTTTCAGCTTATATATATATTAAACTATATAGGAACTATTATTATGTAAAACTAAATTCTTGTCTATGTCATGTTCAAGATGGATGTATTCAACTGAAAATTTTAAGTGTATCAAAATAACAAATTCAATGTTATTCAAACATGAATTTTAAAAATTCATTTAAAATTTATTTTATTGAATTTGATATTTCATAAAGTATTCTGAAACTCACTGTTAATGAAAATTTTAAGTTTTGGAGTTTTCAAGTTTCTTATGTGATTTTAGAATATTTTTGTAGAATTTTTTAGTTTAAAATCTTCTAAAATTTTATTAAAAATCAAATCACCTCAAACTTTACATTGAATACACAATTCTAAATGTATCCGTATACAGGCCAACGCTTAATGCGTTTAGAACACTTGCTATGACAAATCATCTAAAACTATTTTTGCTGAATCAACTTTCTATTGATGAAATGGTGATTGTCAACTCTCCCGTGGTTCTTTTTCGTTTTCTTCTCATTCGATTGTTTACAAAACAGGAAACGTTTGCTCATGAATCCCAACTCTTTACTTCAAATCCTTATCGCAATTTGGAGAAATCTTATTCAAAACATGAGATTTCCAATGGTGAGTTCAAAACGTTTTAGAGATGTAACAATGAAAGCAATTTAGATTCTCCGACTAAAAAAAGCTTACATATAGTATTTGACTGGTGTGGGATTATTGTTAGAATAATTCATCCCAAAGAGAGAGAAACTAACACTACAAGAAAACACGGCGATTCTGACGGAAAAATTCGTCGAAATGTCGTCGGAATATAGGTATTCCGAGGATATACCGACGAAAACGGTCGTCGGAAAATTTTCGTCGGAAATTCCAGTTTCCTCGGAATTTCCTCGGAAAATTCTGAGGAATTACCGAGAACCACAATTCTGAGGACATTCCGACAAACAGTTTCGTCAGACGTTTCCTCGGAATTCCCTCGGATTTTACCGATGGAAACATTCCGAGGGATTAATGTTATCGGAAAATTCTGACGATAGGGTTCGTCGGAATTTTCCGAGGACATCATGTCGTCGGAATTTTCCGACAAACATGTTCCTCGGAAAATTCCGAGGAACTGGGCTTCCTCGGAATTTTCCGAGGAAATGGTGTCCTCGGAATATTCCGAGGAAGCCCAGTTCCTCGGAATTTTCCAAAATTTATATTTTTTTTAATTATAAATTATTGTTTTTTAATTAAAATTCGAAAATATAAAATAAAATTGTAAACTGAAAATATATTAGATAATAGAGTAGTTCAAATAAAAAAAACATTCAGAGTTTTTGAAAAAAAAAAACTACGGGAATTGCTCGTTCGGGTACATCCGCTTCATCAACTCCATCATGGCCTCGTTCTGCTTTCTCGATGCCTCCCACCCCTTCTCTTGTTCCTCCATCTTCGCCTCCAACGCAGCTATGCGGGCATCCTTGTCCTTCAGCTGCTCCATAACCATTGGATCAATAGGCGGTTGTGATGTAGGAGGAACCGATTTGGATCGACGACCCAAACCGATCAAACGTCCCTTCTTCGTTGGAACCGACTGAAAAAGAAAATAAACAAATTTTAGTAATAAAAATATTAGAAAATAAAAATAAAGAAATAAATGAATTGAATTTTTATGAAAACATCTTACCGATTCAACAATCTCGTTGATTCGTTCTCGGGACAGGGAGACCGAGCCTGTCAAAGTGGAGTCGAGATCGGTTTGAAGCTGGGATAGACGGAGCTCTTCGTCGTCCTTGAGAGTGGTGATCATGTCAACCACCTCCTTGATAAGACCATCATCAATCTCCCCGGTATGCTTGTTGGTATGCGCCCGCTTCAACAGTTTGAAAGAATCAACCGGCTCGCCATCATTTTCTTCCGCCTAGAAAAAATATAAGTTNTCCTTGATAAGACCATCATCAATCTCCCCGGTATGCTTGTTGGTATGCGCCCGCTTCAACAGTTTGAAAGAATCAACCGGCTCGCCATCATTTTCTTCCGCCTAGAAAAAATATAAGTTCAAAAAAACAATAGAAATCAGAATAAATGCATACAAATAAAAATAAAAATAAAATAAAAATACTTAAATAATTGAAAAAACGAGATTCAAGTTACCATTTTATCTCCAAGAGTGGCAATACTCATGGCACCCATGTTGTGCTTGGCCACGCCCTTACCGCGACGATCGCTGTTGCGGTTGGTGGAGTTGGTGCTGGAGGTTGCTGCCGTCTCGCCTTTCTTCCAGTGCTCACACAAGTCCTTCCAAACCGTGTCGTTCATCGACTTGGGGACCTTTTAATAAATAAATAAAAAGTAGTTAAATAAATCTAAAAATAAATTAAAAAATTAAAAAACAATTTAATAAACCGATACCTTATTGACGCGCCACTTCTGCTTCCACTCATGGATCTGCTTCCCATAGTTATCCATAACTCTATGGATGAAGGCGTTGCGGATAAATGGCGTATGATCGGGATGCCAGGTAAACTCTTGCTGAAAAAAAACACAATTAGTATAATATTAATATTAAAGATGAAAATATAACTTAAAAAGCAGAATACTTACCGCAAACTGACGAAACCACATCTCATGTTCGGCGGGAGGGAAGTGTGTGAACGTCGGATATCCCTTCTTGAGGTCCGAGTACATCATCCGGTTGATCCATGAGCTGATCCCATTTCCGGATCGGTTGAACCTATCAAAAAGGATAAAATTATTAATAATATAATAAATAAACACTTAAAGAAAAAAAAGACTCTTAATTACCATGTTTGGCCTCGTCCCGACGGATACTCGGTGAGATACAGAAGATGCTCACGACCGGGCTGTTGAACCAACTGTTCAACAGTCATCACTCCCGGAACAACTGGAGGATCGGGAATGTCCTGCGTCGGCGAGGAATCCTGAGAGCCCCGAGAGCGGCTCCCCGAACCACTAGAACCTCGTGGTACGGAACGACGAACTCGAGCCAGACTCTGATCTCCAGTAGACCTATTAATTAAAAAAAAAGTAAAAACAATTTTAATCACAAAAAAATAGTTTTAAACAGAAAAAAAAATAGTTTTAATGATATTAAAATAGAAAATAGGTTTTAATCACAAAAAAAGATTTTGAAATAGTTTATAAACACAACAAAAAAATAGGAAAATACTTATTTATTAAAAAATGTTTTTAATCACAAAAAAGTTTCAGTAATATTAAAACAACCTTTTAATAAATAAGAAAAAGTGTTTTTTATCACAAAAAAGTTTCAGTAATATAAAAAACCTTTTAATAAATAGGAAAAATACTTTATTAATTAAAAAAATTGTTTTTAATCACAAAAAAAGTTTCAGTAATATAAAAAACCTTTTAATAAATAGGAAAATACTTTATTAATTAAAAAATTGTTTTTAATCACAAAAAACGCTTCAGTATTATAAAAACCGTTTTAATAAATAGGAAAAATACTTTATTAATTAAAAAAATTGGAAAAATACTTTATAAAAAAACCTTTCAACAACAACAACATCACAATACACACAAACACCATCTAATTCCCCTATCTACCAATCACCCTAACAAAATCACTATCTAAAACATCTAAAATCCCTAAAACTAACTTCAAATCCTAAGCAAAACACCTAAGGATGATGGGGATTGAGGACTTACA